CACTACCCGGCTGATAGCAAGAACTACGTGGTAGGGAGTTCCCTAAACCTTAAACCCTATAGTCCTCCTTAAATAGATAGAACATGGGGTATGTGGTGATCTCATTATAATATACCCACAGCCATATTCTCTCTATTTCAGGGGGACTATAAACCCTAAACCCTATATAACCCATTGTAGTAGTTTCCATTTTCTTTTCCATTATTCCCATATAACCCCCTGAAACTATATGGGGAGATAAGACTCTGCGAAACCTTTGAGGTGACAATCTGTTCGAGGCATTCTTCGTGCCATCCTTAGCACGCTGGGGATGCTATGGTACCCATTATAGAGTTAGATTATATCCTCCTTTTGGGGTATAGTATTTTATATGGGGAATATAATCTTTCTAGGTTCAACCACCAAAAAAATGCTACTCAAGAGGTCGTAGAATTTTCGTGGTCCTTGCTAGGGTTAGAGCCCCTGTTAAGTAGATAGAATATGGAGTATATGGGGATTGTGTTATGATATTGGCGCAATTCCATGGTCTATCTACTTGATGGGGGCTTCTTCTGAACTTACATGAGCTGTAGTCTAAGCTCCTCAAAGGGGGTTATGTAGGGGATTTCATAGAGCTGCTATTATAGGACCGATTGAGAGGGATACTTGACTGTAGCTAATATGGTAGTTTCCCAGAATGAGAGGACCACAATATAGACCCCAATATACTATCATCCGCCCAGGCAGGTACCCCTAGAAGTTCAAGAAACCCCAAGCCCTATATATTCCTCTATGTGTATATATATATATATATCCCCTATACCCTCGTTAAAACGTACTCCCCTCCCCCTGCCCCCGCAAGGGAGTCTTCGGATCTCATGTGAGCTTTAGTCTAAGATTCATTTAGGGTCTTATATCGGGATGCTGAAAATAACATGGAAATTGCTATATTATCTTCAGATTGTGTAGGGATTATGTAGCGGAGTATTATACGGGTTATGAAGGGGATGCTAGGAGTTTACATAGCTCATGCGAGTTTTTATTGATTTTGTGGATTTTCTGGTTCCAAATACAGAGTCGACCATATGGATTGCTTTTCTAAACGGAAAACATAGTCTTACTTAGTTCAACCGCCCAACCGCCCAATAAAAAAGGGCTACTGAGGTGATTGACCCCACGCACACGGAGGAGCAGCCGCAGCCGAAGCCAACAAAGCGAGTGGGGCACCCGGTGTTTCTCCACCGTGCTCAAATCGGCGAGGTCTCATCTATGACTTTGGGAAAGGCAATTCTCCAAAATTTCAGAGTAGATCTTATTGGGGGTGTAAGAGTCCCCATTTTTCAGAAATGCCCTGGCACGTCTTGCCCAGCAAGCCAAGTCAGCGTCAGGGGTTGCAAGGTCAAGAGGTTAGAATTTAGGGTTTGGGGTATCAAGCAGACCAACAGACCATGCGTGACGAAGAAGCCGCTTTCCTGCCACCAAACTCTGGTCAAAGGTGACGTTTTTTCCTAGCTTCCAGTGGATTTCTTGGCTTGTTGCTTCGCAGCGCAAGTGTTGAAGCTTTTTCCCTTCCTAAGCCTTAGCGTGTTCTAATCTAGCGTGGAGCACCAAAAAGGCCCTTCCATGACTAATGTCCTGTTGAATTCGCGCTTGATGAGGTTGCATGTTGGTTTGGTAGTTCGGGTGACATTGAAGCAAGAGATCATTCATAGATTATAATACTTCCCCTTCAAGCCCTTTCCATCCTTCCCAGCCGGGGGCCTCGATACTACCATAACAATAACAAAAGCATTTTGTTGCGGGTGAACCTAGTTACTCCATAGAGGAAACCACATTAAGTACTATTTATACTCTGTATGGGAACTTAACTGAAGTTCCTTAACAGCAACCCAGTCATGGGTCCTAAGCCTTAAGCCCTAAACCCTAACTGCTTTTCACTTCGTCCGGATGAGGCGGAGAGCCGCCGAAAGACGCGGTTGGCTTCGCTGGTGCCAGGATTTCTTTTCTCGAAAAGTTACATTAGGTTCCCATAGTGGGTAGGCATAAGCATGAATATGGTTCCCCTCATATGGTAACTGAAATGAAGGGTTTCGGGGCTAGAATTTCAGGTTTGGGGTTGAGAGAGTATTAAAAGTTTCGGGTTTAGGGGCTGGTGTTCCCAAATGTGCTCATTTTGGAGGGGTGCTGGCTCCTCAGTAGTATTGACCTGAGATCTGGTGGAGGTTGGCCCAAAGTTCCTGCTTTGAGGAGGGATTGCAAGTGTTGTGCAGATTGTGATATTTGTTTTGATTGGGAAAATGAATTTAAGCTGCTGATGTCTTGGGACTCGCGGCTAGGAAGATCTTACTTGTCTTGTAGCGTCTGAAGAGGATCACAAGCAGCAGACTTCCCACCCAGCAGCATAGATATTTCCTCTGCATGTAGGGACCTCATTTTTGGCCCATGTGGAGAAAACGTTCCGGTAGTTACAGGCAGTACATGCGAACCATATACCATAAGAGGAAGACGTGCGCTGTGCATCTTCTGCGGTATCCAGCTTAACAACTCCTGCCTCAGGACTGGAGAAGAGCGACATTCGGTTGAGGTGGCCAAGCGAGACGTGTGATGCCTTGGAGCCTGAGCACGCAACAGCTCATGCTGCTTATGCTTTGTTAGACCTTGCATTGTGGCAAAGATGTGGCATACTTTTTGATCGACCCTAAAATCCCTGCATTATGCCTTGCATTGGGCGCTGTCCACTTTTCTGAGGAAAGCTTCCTGGTGGACAAAGGGTTTTGCCCAGGCGTGGAGCGAGTAGACTTTATGACGCGCGGTGCAATACGGGAGGCATGCAATGACAAAAATAGAAAGGCTGAGCATTGGGGGTTCCCAACAGCTGCTGCAGCGGCACATTGCATTGCGCCATGAGCAGATGCTTCTTGCTGAGCAGGTCCCCTGGACTATCGCTTCAATGGCAACGCCTTTGTTTTATCGGTGCTGGCCCAGGTGCTGAACCCGAATCTCGTGCGCATTGCTTCCTTTGCTGAGATTTTGCTTTTTTGCTTATGTATGTGGCAGTTTCTCGAAACTGGAGTATCCCCTGAATCTGTAATCCAAAAGAGGACCTAGCACTATGAGAGCTCCAGGTGTAGTGCTGTGAGCACATGTACTCATACCTGTACTGCTCACCAAGGAAGGCACACCCCAACGATCTCCTGTTCTGCTGCGCAGCGCACTTAGAAACAGGAACTCGGGGCTCGTGTTTCTACACACGATAGCAGTGCAAAGTCTCACGGCCTATGATCATTTTTAGTTGAGCCCCGAATGGGAGTCCTGATTTTGAGATTAATTGAAGTTGTGAGGTACATACGCCTAATACTGGGGTCCAGATGACATAGACACCGCTGTGCCTGACAAAGAAGTCTCCATAAAATGTTCCCCCTGCAGAAGTCGCAGATAGAGGTGTAACAAATGCTTGCTTGACGATCATTTAGGCTTTATACTGGTAGCATGGGGTTTGGGCAGTCAGGGAGCTCGGAGCAACATTCCCTGAGCGCAATCGCACAGTTTGTGGATTCACATCTCACAGGGGGATTTCGCATCCTTTCACGAGGTTGGCGGTCGGTTTAAGTACATACCTTCTCATTGAAGGAGATATACGAAGTCCTGCCAGGGCGAATGTTGGGTTCCTTCGGAAAGAAACCTTCCACGTAGAGTGGAGACTTCCGGGAAGCGCCATGATAAAAGCAGCCCTCAAGCATGACCTGTCTGTCCTGCAGGCTAGGCGGAACAGAAAATCCTGCACCCTCCTTGCAGGTGTAAGATGGCTTTACAAGAACTACACCCGTATCCTCGCCAGGTCTGCAGCGAAGACTTGAAGTACTCCGCTCTGCCCGCAGATCATCGGCTTCTTTTGGGCAACGACGCACAGGACTCGGGGGATTTGACTGTAGGGTTCAGAGTTCCATGTTTCGGATGTGCTTCCCCTCCAGCTTTCAGCAACAAGATGGTGTCTTTCGCAAATCCAGCTAGAAAAAGTTCGTGGCTCGAAAAGAACAATGGGTAGGCGCTGTTTTGTGGGATGCCTTTTGAGCGAAGTCTGACTGGAAGGATTATGACGGTTTATGTAGAGCTTTCTTAGGAGCGGATTCTTTAGCCGACCTACCGTCATCCCAGCTTTGAGCCCCTCTGACATGTTTCATGAGAGGCCATTTCCTTTTCTACTTATAGGATCCTCCCTGTGGGACTTCACTTCTTGAGGCATACGCAGAGATATCTATAGCGCGTGCAGTGTTTTCAGACAGGCTATTGGAATCCCTCTGAGTCTGAGAGGGCTTGTCGATGCTACGTGCAACTATGAAAAAGGCATACAAGTCTTTAAAAAGCCAAATATAACCCCAATATACCCTCTTATACCATAGTAGTTTCCATTTGCTTTTCCATTATCTCCATAAAACCAAAACTTCCTCTCTAGCCCTATATAACCCATTATGGTAGTTTCCATTTTCTTTTCCATTATCCCCATATAACCCCAAGGGGGATTTCAGGGGGACTATAAACCTTAAGCGGGGGGAGATAAGACTTTACCTCGGCCGAGCTGGGTCCAAGCTGCTGCCTGCGAGGAACAAGCAGTGTCTCGATGCCAAGCGCAGAGAGAGCCTCAACTGAAACCGCTGCCAAATGGGGTCTTTGTAAACTTGTAAAAGAGACGGAGTGCCTCACAATGAGGGGCTCTTTGAGATACAGTGAGTCGTGCTATGACACGTGCTCTTAGTCAGACCATCATCGTGCAGCCCTCACCCACTTCCTTGTCCGTGCGGAAGCTGACCCCGCTTGACAATACAAAACCCCCAAGCAGTCGCACACTGTTGGCCAGATGCATAACTAGAATAACTAAAACTTCATCTGGCAATGCACACAGCAGAGGACAAGCGAACCGTATGATGCAATAGCCTTTGGGTTGTGTTGTGGACATTTGCAGGAGTTCTCGCTGTTATGGATTGATCCTGGCAAGCCTCCCATGCAAGGATGATGGGGATGACATGATGCAGCATATCCCAGACGGAGGTGTGCTTTGTTTAGCCGCTTTTCCGAAGAAAGGTGGCATCACGAGGTCTGCCTGCTTTCGTTCCTGTAGCTAGGCAGCTAGGACTTTGGCTATCCTTCCTGTATCTGTGCATCATTCTGTTTACCTTTCTCACCTATTACTCTGAGTCTTGCTCTTCCTGATTCCATTCTGACTGCTGAGCCGTTGAGGTCTCCAAAATTCCCTTTTTTGACTTCAGCTTCACACTGCTGGAAGTCTTCCGAGAAAACCTGCAGCAGGCTTCGGTTTGCAAGACGAAAATTTTCCCCCTAGCCTCACAGATAAAGCGTGTTTCTCACCATATCCGTATACTGTTGTAAATCCGGCAATCCCAATGTAAAGCGCAGGGGGGGTGTACAAGAGTACGGTGAAGGGAAGGGGTGCGATTTTTGGATCCCATTTGGCAAGTGCCTTCAGCGCCGCAAGCGCAACTCCTACGTTTTGAGAAGCAGCTACATGTTGTCACGCGAAGTCCCGCGTTTCTTGGAATGAAGGGGTGAGGAGCACTATCAACAGCAAAGCCCAGCTACAAATTGACCTTTGTGAACGCACTGAATAGTCATGATGAGAACCATAACAATAGCTGCCCTGCAGCTGCCCGCAATTATAATTCGCATTGTAGCAAATCATAGCTCAAGCACAGCAATTACAGCAACAGTAACCAGTAAAAGTAGCAGGCCCGCTACGTTAATCGTGGAGTGGCCCCTGGGGTTTCAGGGGGTCGTACTTAGGTAGCACAACATATACATACATATATATGTGTGTATATATATGTTTCCCATATCATTACCTGTCTAGCGCCCAAGAAATCATTTACGTATCGCCCTAGTAATATGCGATCCCTATCCATCCATTCCGAGTGCATTACATGCCCTTGAACCTCTTGCAGTCTTCCTGAAAAGACCTGATACGGTCCCTAAATCCTCACCAAAACGGAGGGTTGTTCTTCAAGCTCATATATCCGTGGCAGTGTCGGAATGCTACGCCTGCTGTTTGTTGAAGAGGTGGTATGTGCGCGCCTGATAGAGGCAGATCCCTCAAGGGCTGTCCAAGAGTACCTTGCTTTGCTGGGACCCGATGCCTGGGTTGAATGATCATCATGCTTTCTGCTTCAGCCATACATGTCCCACAACAACCCTAGATTATATCCTACTAAACCCTAAACCCTATAATATGGCACTTTGCATTCTATTTTCCACTATCCCTATATAACCCTGAACCCTAAGCCCTAAACCCAAAAAGAGGCGCTGCACAAAAAAAAACCTTTTGGGGCAGGCTCCGGCCATCCTCGAGCGGCTCAATCGGGCAGGGATGGAACGCCTGGCGCGCGGAGTGGATGTGGCTGGGATGAAGTCTTTTTGGATTTGGGAATTTTAGGGTTTGGGGTTGTAGGCTATAGGGTTTAGGGACCCCTTAGAAAAGTATAGAGATGTCCCCCAAAAGGGTATTTGCTTTTTGGATCCCCCCTTCTTGGGTTGGGGCCGATGCAAGGGGTTGTGTAGAGGGGAAGCCGTGTAGAATAAAGATATAGAGAGTCCATGTGTATATCGGGATATCCGTAGGGTTGAGTTTGGTAGGGAATGAGAGAGGGCTTATGTCAGGGTTATATTGGGTGTTCAAAAGGATCATACAGAAATTTGAGGGCGAAGCTTGAGCAAATGCAGTCTCTAAAAGTGTCACATCAGTTCGGCGGACCCCCCACCTTGTCATAGTCACTATATAGGGGATAGTGGTGATTATGTTAGGGCCCTGATGCCCTTCTGAATAATTTTAACATGGTGGGGGTGTCCAACTAACATGTCAGCAATTGAGAAGCGACCACCTTCCCTGCCTGCACCACCCGCGCTGCACCGCGCCGCACCCCGTCTTCGCAGCCACCCTCCCTAGCCGCCGTCCGCACCCGCGCACCGTCCCAGCCGCCGCCACTGCCGCACAGAACCTTCCCTAGCCGCCACCACCACCCGCGCCACACCGCGCCGCAGCCCGAACTCGCGGCCACCCTCCTTATAGCCCCCACAATATACCCGCGCTACACCGTCCTCGTGCCGCACCGTGGTGCACCCCGAACTCGCAGCCACCCTCCCTAGCCGCCACCATCAGTTCCGCGACCAACATTTTCGGACGCCAACTTTGGAGGCCTTAACAACCGTAACGCTCCGCTTGCCCGCACCGCACCAAATGCCGCACGCAACCACCATCCGCAACCGCCCCACCCTCCGCGACCAACTTCCTTAAATGCCGAAGACTCCAAGGCCTTTACCCGCCGCGCCGCACCGTGTGGCGATTCCGTATGGCTGCCCGTTGGGAAATCTAAAGAAGAACCCAACCCCAGAGGGTTTTTCTGGACAAAAATGACGGCGCTGTGGGCTGCGGAAAGACACGGAAGGGTTTTTCTGCATCATAAGAATTTAAATAAATAGAATAGCACCACCGCTCAATTGTAAGGGTTGTAAGGGAGATTTTGTACGGATGGATTCTGGAAGCTGGAGATAATGAAAAGCGGCATCCCCAACTTTTCTTTAGCGGGCGGATGTGCGCCCGACAAACTGGCGCCCGACAAACTGACCCCCCCAAGTAGCAAAGCTAAATGCCTGGTAAAAGTGATGTGGTAACCTGAAAAAGACTGAAGAACCTTCTTCCATTCATGATAATAGCAAAGATGCAAAGAGTTCCAATGCTAGCAGTATTCAAAAAGTCTGGTAATCTACCCTCGTTCAGAAAAGAGGCTGCAGGGAACACTGTTGCACGCATTGGAAGCTTGAGCCCGTGGTGGCGTTTTTCAATGATTTCCGCCTGCGTGGCGGAGTGAAAAAATGACGGACGCATTTGTGGGAGAAGGGAGTTTCGGAGAATAGGACGTCTTGTTTCTGGTAGCCGTTAGCCTTCCAGAGAGGGTCGAGCACATTCGGGATACATCCTGGTGTGCTGTTGTGGCAGATTCCGAACTCTTCTTTTGCCACCTTTGCCAGAGCAACGCAATTTCTACGGCTTATTGGTTGGTCTCACTATTTCCTGAAGTTCTGGGCCCTGAAGGTGTCCGACCTCCTCAAGTCTCAAACTTCCCCTTGCATTCTGGGCCTTTCGGCGATGAGCCAACAGATGCCTCGACAGATCCGAGACTGGATTTAGAGCGGTTTGGAGCTCTAGACTGTTGTTTTGGGGTTGTTTGGGCTTACATTGTGCTTAAGTATGTAGGCTACTAGCAGTCTCCAATTCCAGCCATGGTATGTCAGGGGCCGGCCATGAGGATGTCCACAATCATCTTCCCGTTTTTGGCAACTACCAAGGGCTGGGAGGTATGGTACGGGGTTGTGGCTGTTGTCATGAAGAAGTTCGTCCTGAGTATGCAATCCCTGCACTATCCCTATGTCATGCGCTGGCAACTGAGGTTGCTTTCTCCGGGATGTGAGTGGTCGCACTTCCGGAACTTGAACCAGCCCCAGACATGTACTCCTTTGGCGCATACGTTTGGAAGGCAGCTGGCTGAGATTGATGCAGGAGACGTAATACATGCGTAGCAAGCCTTGGAACTGTAGGAATGATCATTGTTTGGGACGGCTAGTGAAAGTGCAAAACTACAGCAGTAGAAAGATGTGCAAGCGAAAAGGGAAGTCTCAAAGTCGTGCTCGTCTTGCTCGTCCTCATCATGCTCCTCGTGCGCGTTGTCGTCGCTTGCATCAGCATCGGACGCCAGCGGCGCCGTTGTCATGGTGCACCACTGCTAGTGCTGGTAACCATAAGAAAATGTTTATTAGAGCAATCAATCAGAGAGTGCCTCGTGCAGGTGGACCATTTGGTGGGGCCTACTTACGCTGCTCATGCGCTGGGGTGACAAGCTTCTGGAGGTCGGTACAGTAATTATTCTTCACAGAACTTCATGGGTGCGCTATGAGCTTTGCACAGGGTTGTATTGGAAATTGTTAGAATGTGCCGTCATGTCATTTGTAAACATTGCTTCCGACCATGAAGCACCTTCACCAAACAACAACCACCCACAAGCCAGATCCTAGTCATCTACATTTCCACATTATGACCACGTGCTATTGAAGCGCTTGTAGCGGTTATAGTCCCCCTTAAGTAGATAGAGTATGGCTTTGGGTATGTTACAATAAGATCTCCATACTATCTACTTAACGGGGGCTGCACGCTGAAGCATGGAGGTAGTGCTGAAGCTCTTGCCCTGCGTCCTGCTCGAGCAGCAGGCCCGAATGCCTCAGAATGCCATTCCCTTATTCCCTACTAGGATCCCCAATATATACCGTAGTATAACGTAGTAGTTTCCATTTTCTTTTCCTTTTTTTCTTGTCCCTATATAATCCTTATGTATACTATACCCTATTGTTATACTATAGTAGTCTCCATTGTCTTTTCCATTATCCCTATATAAACCCAATTTATTCCATGAGGGACAACTCGCTTGCATGGAGGTATTGTTGGTCGGCGATGCGCAAAGGGCTTGCGTGGTGGCTTTGCTGCTGCGCGGTTTGCCAGGGCCGCAGTCTTGTCCACCAGTCAGTTGGCTTGTTGCAAGCGTCGTTCATGATGCATTGCTGTTTTCTCATCTTGTGTGTTGACGCCCTGGGGACCTCCGATGTGCCCCAGGCATAATCTAATCGCTATAGCTGCCAAGAGGACCAAGAATTTTCAGAGCCCCTGCCCCATTGGATAATGGAAAAGAACATGGAAACTACTGTAGTATATATTGGGGTTATATATGGGTAATGCAAAAGAGAATGGGGTACATATTTTCCTAGTATCCCCCTTAATAACCCCAATGATAGTCCCCAATACAATCCCCTATATAATCCCCTATATAACCCCGTTTAAGGAGTTTAGACTATGGCTCATGTGAGGCTTTGGCCATTCCGCTGGCAGCATCCGTTCATATGTGCGCCGCTGCCTCCAGAAGCACTGCGAGAGCTCCCGTTGCTGGCCGGGCTTGTTCCACAGGGATCTCGGGGTTATATGGGGGTTAGTTATTTAGGGATATCTAGGGTTTAGGGTTTCCGAAAATTAGGAGGTATTGAACACAGATAGATTCCCCTCTACGCAACTCTTAGGATATATCGTCCCCCTTAAGGGAATGGAATATGGAATTGCCCAATATTGACATGAGATCTCCATATACGCCAGATTCTAACTACTTAATGAGGACTATGAGGATATAGCACATGATTTATTATTCCCGCGCGCCACATTCACATGTCATAGAAGGCCTGCAGATGTCTTTCTGACTCCCAGCGGCAGGAAGCTACCATGCCATTGATCATGGCCTTCGGGGAGATGCCGATGCTGAGCCACTTCTGGGGTGCAAACCTTACCAAACCGTGACAGGGTCTAGCAGCATGAGAATTTGTTAAAAGCATGCGGCCTTGAGCGGCATTGGAGTTTTGACAGTTTGGGGGTGCACACAGTGAGCCCCTACCTTGAAGAATTGCCCAGAAGCACCTAGCATCTGGTAAAAGGTGATGTAGTTTGCAAGTTGTGGCAATCTTGAGGATACGACACTGTGTACCAACTTCCTCCCAGCATCATTGCCGGAGTGTTGCGCAACGAGTGGGCCGGGAGCTGAGCCCTGTTGTTCAAGAAAATCTGGCTGCCTGCGCAGTGATACAGATCTGCTGGGCAGGTTTACATTAGCGACAAGCTGGAAACAGTTGGTGGTCTACCAGGACTTGCAGCCCAGCGGAAGAGACTGGGTTCTGCCTTGCAAAAGCTGCCCGCCCTGGCAGGAAACAGCATCAAGCTTCCTGCTTTTGTGCAGATGGCCCTCAGGAACGAAATCAAGGAGGCCTGACTTACTTGAGAGTTTGGTCCCGGCCTCTTCCACACCTGTAGCTCAGAAAAACCCGCGATTTTTCAGAGAGATGCTAAACCCTAAGCCGTAAACCCTATAGGGTAGGTTCCATGCTTTGGAGGGTACCAGCTGCGCAGAGTGCAGACCGCTGCTTGGAGGCCAGACGTAGCTTCCGACAGTCGGCGACAAAGCTCCAAGCGCTTCTGGAGATCGTGCCCAAGGCCTGTGGACAATGTAGCAAAACTGTGAGAATACATGAGCTGCAGTCTAAACTCCTCAAAGCGGGATTATAAGGGACTATATAGGGAACTACTACAGGGGTTATTAAGTACGAGTTTAGATTATGACTATAGCTCACATAATGGCCAAGCATTTTGCATACATAGTTTGTTGTGTGAGTACCAAACATCAGGCATGCCTCGCAAGACAAACAGGGGAGTGGATGCATCACAGGAGAGAAAGATACCTTCGGCGAGTATGCTGGCTGTTACTTTGACCACTCTAGTTACTGCTACACTGTGGTGACAATCTTTTTTTTACAGTAGTCACACGTCTGCAGCCAAGTGCTCTGCAACAGATCCAAAACTTACTGGTTCTTAGTAGGTAATGTGTCAATGTAATCCCTATATAATCCGTATAGAACATATTCCCATATTCCCTACTGAGAACCAGTAAGAAAAAGATCACAACTTCCAAAGGTTCATAACGCAGTGGGGGTCGCCATGCAGAAGCTGGCTGACTTGGTGAAGAGTTACGCCCAGAGTGCTTTGGTATGCAGTTATGGCAACAAGGTTCTCTCCTCAAAGTCAGTGGCCCCTGCATTGAGGGTTCCTGCGCTATAACGGCCAGACAATGCTTGAAACATTGGAGAAGGGCGCGCCTTTATTCGGAGAACCTTGATGATGATGGCGGACATGCAGACGAAGCAGAGATTGATGATGATGATGATGAAGATGATGATGAAGATGATGATGATGATGGTGATGATGATGATGATGATGATGACCGCGACGATGGCCGATGGCTACAACTGGATGAACTTGGTTTGAAGTATCTCAATGTTTTCTTGGCAAGGACCGGCAGCAGTTTCAGCAGCAATGATACGTAGTCATAGCCAGACTTTCTTGATTTGGCCCGTTGTCTTGAACTTGAGGTTTGAGTGTTTACTGTCGCACGCGCAGGCCCATGCAACACTTCTCACTGCAGGTATCTTAGGGTCAAGAATGGATCACAGTACAGTAAGGCCATGACATGCATTCTAGGTACTGTAGTTTCCCCCGAAAGAGAATTTTTCATATGCAAAAAGGAGCACGGCTACCCAGGTCAAGTGGAGGAACTGTTGCAGGACCAGGCGTGGAAGAAAAGCTTGAAATGAGGATGATCGATCCAAGCTTCCAGTCATCGTGCTATTTCCTCCATATAGGATGGTAATATGGGATGAATAATGGGAAAGAGTGGAAACTATGGGGATTATAGTTATAGGGGTTATATAGGTTTTATTTACGGGCTACATAGGGATATTGGAAAAGAACATGAAAATTACAATTTAGGGTTCACCCTAAGGCCTGAAGACCTGTAGGTTCCTTCCATGCAGCTCCTCAGCCTTGAGGAGAAGTAATTCGAACTTGGGAACTGCAAACCTTGTTCCCTGGCTGCTCCATCTTTGTCTACTAAAGCAGCGCTCCCTCACATCCCAGCAGCGAACAGGGTGAGGCCAAACGTGATTTTTTGTTGGTCCAGCTGCCTGTCGCATTAGGTGCTGTTTTCCTTCAGAGGCTACTACATACTCTTTTCAGGGTCCTGTGTACACGCTGGCATAAGACATGGAAACGACAAACGATACCGACATGGTAGTTTCCCAAGCTAGGGGGAACCCAATATAGAACAAATACAGAAAGTAACACTTTGCGGGCACCATATTTACAGCACTCCTGGTTTGAGCTGTTTTGGCAAAGTCAATGACCCTTCATATGATTACGATTATATGCTGTATACTATATATGTATATCACTGCATAAAATACTCGTACGCTTTAAATAGAATATAGTGCATAATGGAATATCGGTAGGAATTGTTTTCAGATAGTTAAAATGTGAGACTAGGATTCAACGGTAGGGCTATGAGGGCGATGGACCAAAAGGCCAGAGAGCCTGGGAGGGACATATTTTTTTTGGCTCCGCCGCCACCCCCCCCCCCTCCCCGCAGTCTAAGTATACTTGGGGGCCCAGGACACAACAGACAGGTCTCTCACCCTTAACCTTTTTGTGGGATCCTATACATTCAACGCTACAACCTCAAGGCGATTCCTTTCATCAAATTCCTACGTAAAGTCGGTTTGACTTTGTCAATGTTTGTCAAAAACGATTGATTAAGTGTCATGTGAATTCTAAGCTCCATAAAGAGCGCAGCTGAATAGCGGATTTTCCAGCATTGTAGCTACCCCTATACAACCCTGAACAATTTTTTCTATGAGCGTGAGGATTTGTTACTCGCGCTTCAAATTAACCTGCCTTAAACTCCGCTATGCAGTTTCAAGTATGGAGGCCAATGCGTGCCGCATATTCTGTATGTAATCTCCTTACAAGCTGCATGCTGAACACATTTTATCTGCATATATTGATCGAATTTAGAAGAGCTAGATATTTAGACGCAATATTTAGGTGTGCATGGAGCACTTGTAGTTACCAGGACCAAGTCAAATCCGATCCTCCAGAGAAATGGGGACGGACCTTGTTCGACATTTTAGTACTCCCAGGATGCTCATCCTCGCTATTCCGAATATCTAATGGTTTTAAAACCCCTGAATACTTATGGGGTGGCTCATATTTATTCGAGAGAGAGACAGCAAATCAGCCACGTAATGAACATGAGGCACCCCTTGCACGATTAGTATCCAGCTTGCAGGCGGTAGTTGACTATGGCCCGCAAATAATGGAAATGCTTGCTGAAATAAAGTAAAAGATGCACACCCCTATGCAGATCATAGCCCTTTGTTCACATGTTCCAAGTCTGACAAAACGGACTGAGACTATTGTCTGTCTCTCATGCGTAAAACAATGCAACATATACGCATTTTCATCGGTATAAAGTGATGTTAGCATTTAGGTCTTGATACGGGAGGCTTCTATTTTACATGCTATAAAACACATCGAACTCTTGGATTGTATGCCATTGCGTTTTTGTTTGCTATATAAGGTGCTTGGCAGTTTCCAGCCGAAAACAAGTGTTGTTTCCTATGCCTATGGATGTGCAATACGATATTTTCACTGCTGCCTGCTATATATTTGTGATGGATCGTATTCGCCCATATGTGCAAGATAGAAATGAAAACATATGTTAGATAGACTATCTAAAGGATTTCTATGCTGTGCAGTAGACCCTGCCCTGGAATTGAGTGACTGTGTGATCAATTCCGTGCATTGGCCTCTTCGAGTGAAATGTCTCATTCAGCGCGTGTGCTTTTGAAAGTTGTGACTGTTAGTAAACTTGATGGGCATTGGTGAAGCTGTCATGCCTTTCAACAGTCAGCTGAGTTTTCTCTGACCCTTCACCTGCAGGGTACCGGACAGGACATCATTTGCGTGCCTGCACTGCTGTGCGATGTGCGTATCTAAATATCGCTATGTATCCCGTTGCAACCCTTAGAAAACCCTTGTATCACCCCTATATCACCCTAGTATCCGCTTTAAAGAGCCCGAAATAAAGCAGAGTGCCAGATGTTTTGAGAAGGCCTTGGTAGCCCAAGCGGGAGACCTCTGCGAGAAGTGCTACCGGCGGGCGCTGAAAGTCGAGAGGTTGCGGGTTTAAGGTTTAGGGTTTGGGGCTTGGGGTTTAGGTTTTAGGGTTTGGGGTTTGGGGTTGTGCGAGCTCAGACGCCAAAAGGGTTTGAGGTTGCTTGTGCATTTTACTTCGCTTTTGTTATCCAGTAGAGAAGGAAGTGGATCCCTACCGGAGCCCCTAATATAGCCATTAATAGATCCATGGACCCCTAAACCCTTAAACCCTTGAACCCTACACCCTTGAACCCTACACCCTAAAGCCTAAAACCCTAAACGGTCCCTGGGGCCTTCGATCTGCAGAGGTCGAAAAGAGCTCGTAGAAAAAAAATCCTAAACCCCTCCAGACATCAGGTTCGTGGCATGGCTGTGGGCCCACGAAGAGGCGTACGGATGCCCGGAGCCAGCCTGGGCTCCCAGATCTTCAGCGAACCACTGTGCAAAATCCCAAAGTGATATATAGGGTTTAGGATTTAGGGTTTAGAGTTTAGGGTTTAAGGTAATCATAGTCTAAGCTCCTTAAGGGGTTTCTATAAGGGATGATATACGGGACTACTACGGGGATTATTAAGGGGGATACTAGGAGTCTAGACTAAAGCTCAAAAGGGTTTTAAGGCTTAGGGTCACACAGGCGGCTGGTGAACATGATTCTCAGGTTTAAATAGTTGTATGGGTTATTTCCTGTAACTACCTTCTGTATTGGCTCCGTCCAGAGAACGAGCATTGCATCTGACAGGACCATCTGAAAACGCGAGAGAGAGAGAGAGAGAGGGTTTAGGGTTTGTGAGAATAAGAAGGATTCAGGGTTTAGAAGAGTATCAAGGATGTCTGGGATGGCCGCAAGGACGGCCTGACTACATGTGGCACCACCCTTCCATCAGAATCATGTTGAGGTCAAAGTTGTTGTTACAGATGGACGTGTGCGCAGCGGAGAGTTTACGAAGTTACAGTGAGGTACGCTTGATGATAGAAATCCGGCATGACCCTGACAGACCCTAATTTGTACCTTGGGAATAATAGTGGTCCTGTCGTGTACTGAGGTCATGCAGGATTTCTAGTATCAACAGCAAGAATGCATTCAGCTGTTCGAGAGTCGAGACATCGGATTGCCCGCGTGCGAAAGGTGGGATTTTACACGACGTTCTTGCAGACTCAATGCTTCATGGGTCTGCTGTTCGAGGAGCAATTCACTTTCTTGAAGTCTCCGCAGATACACGTTTCCAGCCAAACAATTCCTGATTAAGGCTGTTGATATCGAGCCCCTTGATGGAGCTGCAAACGTGCATTTCACAGTTCTTTTATGCGGCTTGTACAACTTACTGCTTCAGGGCATGGCGCCGTGATCCTATGATATCCTATGTGCCTTTTCTAACACTCCCTTTCATGCCAGAGTGGGCAGAAGCATCGATGAGCAGCAGTGGTACTTCGTACGAAAGATGGGTGAC